TTATAATTTATATGAAATTGTCTTGGGCCCGCAGATTATGAGGGTTAACCTTGGCATCACCGCTTTAATTGCCGTGATAATTATCCTTATATCAGGAAATCGATACACGGTCTTAACTGTGTCACAATATAATATGCGAGCGTTGACAAATGAAGGTACATGAATCAACGTGTATGTCTTTTGACGGGACTTCTCACACAAGGAATGCGTGCCGTGTGTTTTGGAGATGTGTAATTTATAATATAATAAAGTGCATTAGGTTGAGCGATAAATCATTTATACATAATATGCGAGGCGCGCTATAAAGGTGTTGTCGGAAAGGGCTTTGCATTTACACACACGTTTTAATAGCAACCGATATTTATTCCAGTTAAACTTCAATGTCAATGTTAAAACGTATTATACCCTTAAAATATATAGATGAAATAATATTTGATATCAACAAAAACGCACACGCAAATGTACCATAAGGACTCGCACACTTTTCTCTACATAAATATTGTATATTGATATATTTTTCTTCTATATTTTCATGTGAAAAACATTTTTTTCACACAAATCGAATTACGATTATCGATCAGACTAACAGTTTTCCGATCAGACGTGTAAAAAAAAATGTGATCGTTAATCATTTCGGAAAATTGCGAGACGTTAGAGTACTTTAATAGAGTTATATTATATTGAAGTATACATGGGTATTATTAATATTGTGTACGTCACACAGCCGTTATATAACGAAAACAACACTCGAAGGTTAATAATTATCCCGGCTAATCTCCACTAATGAATCAATTTACCAACAAAACCTCGGGAATATTCAAGGGAGTGGGGGCTTGGGGGGCCGCATCCCTTCCTTCACATGTACTTAAATCGTATGCATTAAAAGTGTATTTTTGTTTATTTTTTCATAGTATAATATATTAGAATATGCATTTTTTTTTTACTATGTTAACTTTAACTATTGCTTATATTATAAAATTGTCTAGCCTCCTCCTTTTTTCATTGCCAGATCCTCCGTTGGGAGTATTAACTATACTATAATAGTCAGTCAAGAGTGGACTATTCTTTATCCGGTTTTTTTTTTGTTTCGTCGTCAGGTTAGGTTTTTATTTCGCTCTTAAATTATTACGAAGACGTGTAGTCGCCTATTTATACTACTAACGCGTAACGGAGCTTTGTTTTTGTACATTATTGTTATTATGTTTACGCTGGTGCTTGTGATGTTATTATTACAAAGCCACAATCTAGTCTGTTTTGTTGCACCCGCTGAGTAGTATGTACATAATCTCCATGTATATTGTATACATACAATGCACCGATATCATGTCACGTACCGCCCGCTTGTTGAGAAAACAAACAACCGTTTAGAGCTTCACGTCCAGCGCAGGGCGGCAAAGCCACTTATCAATATTGCAGTACAACGGCTGTCGTGCTGGCGGCCGGCCGGCATGTTTCCAATGCACATCCGTGGTGTGTAAGTATATATTTTTCCATCGAATATAAAATACAGAGAAGGGTCTTGCCGAGGAGCAGAAAAAAAAATAGCTTTTCCGCACGACCCCCGGTCCGGCCCGGCTGCTGCTGCTGTGAACAAGAAAAACAATAACCGAGTACTTAAAAGGTCGGTCGCAGAGATTTCCCGTCATCCGATATAACAATAATATAGGAGCGCCGGACTTTAATTTACGGCCATCGCAGTGCCGGGGCGACCCTTCTTATATATTGTTACCGTATACGCACACAGCAGCACTATGATCACATCCCGGCGTCAATGGATAATGTGATATTTTCACCGGAGACAGTAGAAAGAAATTGGTTATTACCGCCGAACCCGGCCGGCTATTGTTCCCCGTCGTTCCCCAGCACACATGGTAACAATAATGACATTTGGAAAAACTATTAAACAATACTACTATACATGTAGGTACAATGTGCACCGGGCATTTTCGCCGAACAGACATTTCGGCCGAACGCGAATAATGCCCGGCCGTCCGTTTAGGTCGGTATTGTGGAAAACAAAATGGCATTCAATGAAATCGGGACTTCCGTATTGGGGGGGGGGGGTGGAAGGGGCACCGGTACAATAGGCGAAACCGAGATCCTGGATTCATGGGAAACGCAAACTGCAAGTACACACACGATGAATTCGCCGGATAAAACGGATAAGAACAAACGATTGGGCCGTGACGTGATGTTTTATCGACAAGAAAAACTAACGTTTCGAAAAAAGTTTTCCAACGCCGAGTGCACTATATAGTGTAATGCGAGTAATATAACACTATAAAAAAAAATAAAAAGAACAACAATTGCCGTATAAAAGAGTTTTCGAATAATCACACAAACCACAAGAGTATTTTTGGCAAAACAAAATTTCTCATCGAATACCGCACGAAAAATCCTAAAAATATATACTATACAATTATTTTCAACGTACCAATATTATATTGTCTTGACGGGCACAAAAAGATAACATCTTATTTGTATCTTTAATGCTCAATGAATCGTTTATTTGTTTTATGTTATCAAAAAATGTTTGTTGAAATAAGTACTCATTTACACCTGTTCTTTGCAAATATGTACATAAAATTGTCAAGTTTCTGTTTTGGCAGTTTCATCTTTAATACAGTTTTTCAATCGATTTGGTTTTAAAACATTTTATATTAATATTTTTTTATATTTTTGATTTTTTCATCGTGATATTGTACTAAAATTTAATTTTAGCGGCTCTCTTATACTTTGACTGTTTACAAATAACAAATTATAATAATAAACAAGACAATAATCTCGAGTTTGTCATTCGTTTACTCGATTTATTAATTCAGTTTATTTATATCGTTAACTCGACTTTGTTAGCTACTCATTTACTCGATTTATTTACCCTAACAAAGCGATATCATGCTTCTACATAATACCTATATTATAGCTTTAGCTTAAGACCTCAGAAACCGTTTTTTTTTGTCACAAAACTCGGTGATTCGATCATTTTTAACGTCTAAAACCGTTGAGTTTATATCAAGTTCCTCAAGACAATCATAATATTAAAACAATATTATTTGCTCGGCTGTCCATAAGCGTTTAAAATTTCATTTTGAAATCATTAAACAAGAACGGCGCCTAAGGGGTAGACATGTCAAATAGTTACTGAATTGACCTAAACTAGGGAAAACGTGCCGCCGATAGTGTGATGTTGATTTATGTGCTTGTAAATACTTACATTGGAAGTAAGACGGGCGACGAGAAAAACCTTTCAGATAGCTTCGCGCGTTTAACATGGTAGTTATTTATTCCCAATAATTCTCGAATAAAGTTTCTGGTCTGTCGAAGCGAGCAAAATATATTATTACTCGGTTATTGCCAAACTTATTGAATCGACAAAAATGATTGTTCCATTAACACTGGTTAGGACAAAACCGATTAAACCGATGCTTGTGGCTGTCGCCTTGGCTGTCTCGCTCGTGTTTTCAAGGAGATCCGCAATTTCTAAATAGTTTTCAACGGGGACATTATCTCTCCGTTTATATGAAAGCCATAATAATATATTTCATACATCTGTAATCAGTTAACCATCCAAAATCGATTAAACCGACATCGTAAAAACAGACGAGAACACCAAACCGTTCATCGATATTATGGTGAGATTGTAAATAAAATAAAAAAAGTAGTCAAACTAGTACTAACGAGTTAACAGCCCTCAATAAAATAATAATGGGGTGAACGACAATAATAATAATAATATTATATAGTAGCGGTATCAAAATAATAATAAAATCAATAATGTCCAATGCGTTTCGTTGAACATTTTCTGGTTGATTTCTTAACGTTTATTTTCGTTATTTTTTATTGCACGTCGCTTCAATTATTGTTATCTTTGTTGTAGGGTCGACAAAAAAAAATATATTATACTATAATTATTATCATCATCCATAAAAAGAGAGAACGATGAGATGTTTACGGTGGAAGCTGAATGATTATACCGACCCATCGGAAGGCTTGATTTTAAGGTGTGCAATAGGACACTAATAATTGTACACTAGAAAAATATGAATTATGTAGTTAAATATTAGAAATGGCGATTTGTGAAGTCTTCCCAGCAGGAAAAATGTCGTACCGTAAAGCCTGAATCCACGTGCCGCTTCCGATTGAACATGACCTTTGTTGTGTACACAAAACAAACCTATTATTTGCCCCCTACCCCCCCCCCCCCATCCAACGAATTGTACGTGATTCTTGAAATGTGCGAAATTACAATCCAACGATTTACGTGCATCAATAAACAAAAAAAAACTAAAACGGCTATACTTAAGCCGGTATCTTCAACAATAGTGAAGTTCGTCTCGAAAAAGCGCTAACGTGATTGCGTTCATATAATTTATTTCAGCTATTGTAATGGTCGTACAAATTGCCAATTGAAACAATACAGTTAAAAAAAATGTTCATTATCTCTACTAACTTTCATACTGTAGCTGATCCCGAGTTAAGTTTTTTATGGGCATTTTGAACGAATTGTTTAATAAACATAAAGCTGATTTTTCATTTAAAATAACAAAAAAAAAACATTTTTAAACAATTGTTTGAGTTTCAATTAATATTATTACGCCCTGGGAACTAAAAAAAAAAATCTCAAGATATTTTACTAGGTGATTTTATTTTATGGGATAGTTTGTACGTTTACAATAGATAGCAACTAGATTTTTACAGCTACCCATTATTGTAACGTGCGTGCGTGTAGGAATACCGTTAGATAAAGCTCTGGAACAAAACCTAAAACACTTCTATACAATATTACTGTATTGTGTATTTGAATCGTTATGTTTATGTTCTAATCGATTGAATAAATTATATTCTTATGATGGACTTATGGCCGCGGTTGTAGGCCAATTTTTATTTTGCGCCATTTAGGTTTCTGCCACGCATCGGTGCATTTGTCGATTACTGTGCTGTGTGATGACATAATATTTTCCTCGTTAATAATATATTGTGTATAATATTTTGGATTTCAGGGCCGACTCATGGACCAGGCTGATGCATATTTCAGTTCGTTTCGCCGGTGCAATTACCCGAGGCTCATGTCGGACGGATCCGTGGAACTCGTCAGAGAGTGTGGCCGGTATGCCAGGTAAGCGAAGGGATCTTTTTTTAATAAAAAAAAAATGTTTTTTATTTCACTATACGAACTACATCTGCCGCGCTCGCGAAATGACAATAAACGGCGCCCGCGGCTGTACATATAATATACGGTCGAGGTGGAAGTGATGAGCACCGTGTCTCTTTTGCTATAACCCACCCTATCCCCATCCCACACACTATTTCCAATTGCCGGAGGGTCCTGAAATCGAAGAAAGAGGCGCCGGGAGTCGGCCGAGAGAGACGGACGAGAAATTAGCATTTCAAAGCCCCGGCTGACCACCGACCCGGCTGATAGATAATAAGCGCGCCCTTGTGATGATGGCCGGCCGAGTTTAATTCCATTCGCAAGCCTTTCCGACTAACGAATGCATTCACCTTTGTAGTGTTACTCGGAACTGCAGTTATGAAATCCTCCGGCGACGACCGCACGCCTCTGTTGTAAACGGCCGCGCAAACGTCCTTTATAGATGAGTTACTAGGATTTAATAATAACAATAGTAATAATCACGAATTTGCGCACAACGCGAGAGCGATAGTATAAGTTTATAGTGTTCAGCTATCAGTATCGTCCACGCGGGTCTTTACACGGAAATAGTTGGTCAAACTCAAATATTTACGGTTAATGTAGGAACACAATAAATGCGTACAGTTGGAATAACTAAATAAATAGTTGCTTTGACTACAAATTTAGTTGCCCCGACTATTAATTTAGTTGTTTCAACGATATAAATTGCATATGGCTCTACAGGGTGATTCACGGAACCAGTGGATATTTCATAAGATAATAGGCATTTTAGCTATTTATACCTACTCTCTAAAGATATTGACTGGACCATAGTCACAACCAATCGCGTGCCGACACTGCTATTGAACATACTAAAAAAATCTATTTAAAGGGCTGTAAGTATGTACGTACTTGCTTTATATTTTGGGATGCTCACGTTAAATAAAACTTATCTGAGTATCGTTTTACGACCAAGCGGAAAGGAAACGAGTCGGCGACGATATAGTTTTTGTCGGTGGCGACTACTAAAAACATGAACGATGTGTCATTATGTTGTACACGTTACACCCGTCTAAGTTTCCGCTGTGGAACTCTGTGAGTACTATCTCGTTGGACGTTTTCCAGACAATGGCGCATTGAAAACAGCAGCATGTTATCATCAGTTTCCGGTCAGGAACGGTAAAAAAAAAAAATAATAATAATAAATAAAGGATAATATAAAATAACGTTTCTTCTATTCAGAAAGTAGACAAACAGTGTATTATGGTCGTATTGTATCGCGCGAATAAACCGTCTGTCACGTATAAAAATAAACTTCACGCACAAGTTAAAACACATACAATTTTATTTGGCGCTACATAACACCACAAGAAGGCGAGGTGAGTTCAGACTGGCCTAACCATCTCGTTTAGGACCTCCTGAAAGTCGAATATGTTCTGTTTACATTGTGTAACGAGGAAACCTCTAAAGTTGGTTTAGGAGGAGTTTTGCATAAATTTGTATGTTTTTTAAATTTATACTTGTTCGAGGCTCCTGGGAATGTATTATTTTGATTTTGTTAAAGGTTCTTAAAAGTACAAGCGGTTATTCTTTTAAATAAGGTCTGACTGCTGTAAGCTATTTGAGAAAACGATTTTATGATATTATTTAAGAGAGACCGCGCGTTCGCATTGTAACGCCGAGTATGAAAATATGTTGCATATTACATTAGCTCGCTGAAACTTAGCAGCTATGTTCACCGCGTTCAGCAATATTAATGAGTACCTATATACTAACAAAAATGATTTATATTACTTGGTAACTAGCCTCTAGAGAATAATTTAACTATATATAAATTAAAACGATGTTACTTTAAAACTTTGTGCGCCTCCTATAAAATATATATAATTTTAAATTATCAAATGTTTAAAGTGTTGGGGTAATTGAGTCGTTTAGTAAACTGCTGAATAGGTGCGCCGAAACGAAACACTTACGTTGTTATTCATAGAGGTTATGACGTTGTAAAGATAAGTTTTTGAAAAGCATATACAATTATTTGCAAGTGAGACTGCAAGTAGTGTGTTGTTGATCAAGACGTGTCGAATATACTAGAAATTTATTTATGCATTTTTAACTTGGGAGGGTCACACTGCGAAAGTAACGCAGTACCGGTAAATATACAGTATTACTTTTGCTCTGGGAAGTTTTCTTACATTTCTGAATAATAAAATTATTTTTTTTCCTATTCCAAGCTGGTATATATTATTTAGTAAAACGTCAAAGTGAATTTTCCAGGCATCGTTTTGAAAATTATAATAGTTTTGTTAAGTAAATATTGAAGATCCATAGAAATGCATATTTATTTGTCATTAAAATAATATCAATAATTGGTTTGAAGTCAGCGAGTACGTTCAACGTAATGAACCGAACCCGTTGAAGTTATTTGATTTGCAAATTTTCTATTCCACATAAATAATTTATTAGATTAGTTTACGCTGAACTGTACACAACTTTACTTGATTAAACGGTATGACTTATCGTTGACAAGTTGTTACGCAGTGAAGTTGGTTGGCTAATACAAATTATTCTGTTTGCATTTTCAGCAACGGAAGTCGACAAACGAATAGACTATTTACTAATGAATACATAATATAATACCTAATTACCATTACTGTTTTTGTATTCACTCATTTCGACGACGTCCCAGTTATATTTTATTAACCATATGTAAAAAACGGTATTGACAACTGTCTATGTTGGTTCGGTGTAGTTTTACATTTTGTGTGTTTTTTTTTATTCGTACTCATTAACATTGGATTCGGTTTGCTATATTATGCAACTAACTGATGTTAGTTCCACGATACAAAATATTCTGCGTGTTCACTGTGTATAATATGAAAATTTCGTTTTTACCCATCTCGGTTATTTCCCGGGGTCGCATATTTTACATGTATGATCACATTAGGTACAATATTATACGTTCAACGATCAAAAGAAACAGACAAACACCAGAATCGGTTTCTTCGTCGTTGTACAGCGTTCAGTGAAATTAACATAAGTACCGGAGAAATACTTAGCCAACCAAATGGGTCGCTAAAACTGACTGTAAATTAACGGCAGCCGTACGTTGTTGTAATAGTAGTGCGGACAAGAAGCTATAATAATAAAGATTATAATCAAGATAGATTTGTTTTATTTAAAACGTCATGCCGCAACACGTGTACATATTATTATGGAGTGATCAATTTTTTTTTATACTACAAGCCACGTAAGTGCTCAAAGCATTTCTCAGCATTATATTTATCCCATTGCTGTTTTGGTTTATTTTCCAATTTGCCACGACGGGAGCTTCTAGATAAGTCCAAGCAATAATGCATCATTTATCAACGCGTACCACACTCCAATAAAACTAAATGGCTCTGAAGTGGTTTATTTTTCCATTCGCCCGTAATCCTTTCAGAGTAAAAAAATGTGTGATTTTTTTCGGTTATTTATTTATTATTATTATGTTTCGAGGCTTCGTCGAGTTTTGTTTGAGCTACTTTTAATTAGTTTTAAAGCTCAGAGTGAGTAAAAAGTTGATTAAAATAATGTTTGTTTGTTGTTTTTTTTTGCATTGAAAATATTTATTCTGCAATGTTGATCTAAAAGAGAAAAACAACAATTTTTGTTTTTATTTGTTACAAAATTACATTACACAACATCATGTAGTTGTTTTAATTTAAATTTTTTTTTTTACAGCAAAAAGAAAATCAATCATATTTTGTCGAGTTTTCGAATCAGGCTTTTTTATTTTAATTGTTGAAAAATGAATACTTAGGTTTCCTGTCCACGGAAAACACAACTTTAAGCTTTACAAGAAACTGATATATAGAATTTACAAAACATTTAACTGCTTTCCAGTTAAATAAAAATAAAAGTAAATTAACAAAGGCTGTGTGTGTACACCGAGAGAAGCAAATTTAAAACTTTACAAAGGAAATCATGATGTTTCAAAGCGTATGGTACGTGCAGCCAAACACAATTGATGCACTATGAGAAGAGACAAAACGAAGGTCGGACAATATTACATTTTTCGGATTACTGGTTCAAAAACAAGAAGAAAAGGCAGTGACTAGAAGTTGTGGAGTACCTACGTGCTTGAAAAAGAAACATAATACTATTTACGTTAAAAACTTCATATTCCTTTTACTAAAGCCACAGACAAACTATCCTTGTCAACTTATATATAAAAAGTAATTTGTCTGTCTCGAAATAAATAAATTTAAAAAAATACGTTCCATTAAGTTAAGCCATAAGAACACGAAATAGTTTTCTAGAGAATTTTCTTTTGTTTATTTATTTATTGATACTAATCAAATTCAATATATATATATATATATATATATATATCCAAATACTGAAAAGACATTACTTTAAATTTTCTGATGATTTAGAATATATTGCCGAATGACGACCATCCAACGCTATGTTAAATTTATATATATATATATATTGGGTAAAGTTGATAGTTTGTTAGTGTATACTTGTAATAAAGTAGAAAACCCAGAATATTAATTTCCTTTATAAACTCCATAGTTGCAAATTTAATGGAATTTTTGCTTTTCAAACCAATAAAAAGATTCTCAGTTATATAAAGATTATATAGCATAATTTTTAATTACATTATTAAACAAAATATTTAATTTACAGTTGTACTTAATTCAACAGATTGATTAATTATCTTATCCAAAGAAACATCAGTAATACAATGGCATACTAATTACTCTACTAAAAAGAATGAAAAGTATAGAACAGACTTTTAGACAGACTAAAAAGTAATACGCAATTTATTTGTCAAGCTTGATTTCATATTTACAAAAAAATTATATATTTTATTTCCAACTTCAATACAAGTACACAAAATTTGAGCTCAGAATTCTAAAAATTATATAAATCTATACAACGCGACCTATAATTTTTACTTAACTATAAAACAATCTTTTATTATTAAAATTGGTGGTTCC